TATATATATATAATACACAATGCTAAAAAACAATGAAAACTGTAGAAAAAAGTATAAGATATAAAATTCTCCATTATAGATAGGTAACTGATTCAGTAGAGAAATGTCTTCCGAGTCGAAGTAATATATATATAATTTTATTTTTTTCCTTTTTTACGAAATACAAGCATATATGCTCAAAGAAATAAAGAATATCCTATTTCTTACTTTTTCTCATCTACGAAGTATATGGTTAATGAAAGTTTATTACACTGACAGCTAACATTTCAATTTTTCTTTTCATATTTTCCCGTTGTATCAGTACATCTTTAAAAATAATTTTTTTTTCTTTTTCGTCAAATACGAACATTAAAGTTTACAAGCACCACATAGTGCAGGGAATAATCATTATATTTATCTCACTTAACTCAAATTATTATATTTTCTCAGGCTTCTTGTCGTCCAGCTTTTATCATATTTATCATTATTACTTTCAGTAAATCCAACAGACGTCCGAATTAATGCACCTCAAAGTCCGATTTCAGCGAATGAAAGAGTGGAAATAATGTGTGTCAGCAAAGGTTCCAGACCCGCAGCACAAATTTCTTGGTGGATAGACGGCAAAGATTTGAAGAGATATGCAACGGATGAGGTTGAAGGAGATGAAACACGAAGTAAACTATTTTTTACGCCCACCAGTGACGACAATGAAAAAATATTAACATGCAGAGCGGAAAATCCGGAAAATCCACAAAGTGCCTTAGAGGACCAGTGGACTCTAAATGTATACTGTAAGTATATTTATTACATAGTTTTGTTTCAAAATGAAAATGAATTCTATTCCACGTTGTTAATGGTTGGTGTCATAACTTAAACTCATTTTACTTTCACACATCACTCAGTAACATCAGGCATTTTTTTAATTGGAATATTGAACCCTAATGGGTTTTAATATCCAAAATTGTAGCGTTGAAACATGTACAGGAGAAAAAATTAACTCATCAATATAGAATCAAACATGCCAGAATAGTTGCTGACACACAGTATACATTTAGAGGACTAGTGGACTCTAAATGATACTGTAAGTATATTTATTAAATAGTTTTGTATCAAAATGAAAACGAATTCTATTCCACGTTGTTAATGGTTGGTGTCGTAACTTAAACGTATTTTACCTTCACACATCCCTCAGTTACATCAAAAAAAAATTTTAAATTGGAATATTGGACCTTAACGGCTTTTAATATCCAACATTGTAGCGTTGAAACATGCACAGGAGAAAAAAAATAACTCATCAATATGGAGTAAAACATGTCAGAATAGTGGCTGACCCTTTTTGGGTAAAATTAAATAAAATTTGTGCTACACGGACACCACAACAACGAAAATGGAAAGGAAAGGAAAATAAATACTAAAATTTATAGAATATTTAAAAATGTATAGTAAAAATCTCAATTTAATCCGTGATATTAAATATATGGAATAGGATATAGTTGTCTAATAGAGGTAGAAAGATTCCGCTGATTATGGCAGAAATCAAAACTAATCAGTAATAAGCTTAGACTATAATCTCTAAGGTTAGACTATAAAACTATAAGGTTAGACTATAAGGCTCTTAGACTATACATTTCATTAAAGGACAGGAAAATGATAATTTACAAAGACAGACTTTATTATATATACTGAAAATAAAATAAATTGTAGACGATGAAAACGGGTTCAGAATCATGATAAAATTTTTATTCCATAGTAGTAGAGCTTGACTTTCAAAACAAAGAGAAAACCTTATAGAAATAATATTTTAAGTAAAAGTTCTAAGTAATGCTCATAACTGCATAACAATGAGTCAAGATTCCTTTTTAAATTACTCATTCAAAACTATTTATTTAACTCTTCTTAAAACAATAATTTGTAAAACATTCCTTTTTATTCCAATTTCAGAACATTTTAGAAATCTACTATGTAAGTTTATACAGACATTTCAAAAACAAGTATCAAATAAGCATACCAGTATAAAATTTCTTTTATTTTCTACATATCTGAATGAATCATGCAGATTCAGTTATTTATCTTTTTTCAAAACAGTAATTCGTTAAACATTTTTTTTTTTAAATCTCAGAGTATTTTATGTGTCTGCTCTGTACACTAAAAACATTACTTTAAAAACAAGAATAACAGCATAATTATTCTAACATTATCATTAAGAATTTAAGAATACAAAAGTATTAAACTAAGTTCTTCTTATTATGAAGACTTATATTAAGTCTTAATAAACATGGATAAAGCTAAATTATTTATGCAATCATTAATAATTTAATAAATCTTTACAGAAGGATTAGTTCAAGAATTATTCTGACTGCTATTGTTGATTGTTTGATTTAAAATATTCTTTCACTTTCATCATTAATAAAGCATATAGCTCATTAAATGTTTTAAAAACTAAACATAATTTGCCTTTCTTATCATTAAAGTCAAGTCAAACTAATATATTTAACGACTCATAATTTCTGCCACTTACAATGTTTAATGCAAATAAAATTTTCACAGGTTTGTTTTCAAAGCTTCTTAAAATGTAAATGAAAATCAGGAAAAGTAGGATTAAAATCAGGCTGTTGAATAATTAGCATCAAAATACATTAGAACTGTAGACTTTCAGCAATTTTAATGAACTATTGCTTTATTTTTAAAGAAGAAATGCATCTTTCCTCCGTCCTTATTTAAAGAGTGTTTTTTGAAATGTAATTATTGAAGGAAAATAAGCGTATTTCATAATAATGGCACAGTACTTTTATCAGTTTCTTTTAGATAAATGACTTGGTACACTAGTGTTTCCTTCATTTCAGCGTTGCATCAAACAATTAAAATTATTACTGACAGATATTAATTGAATAACTAGCATCGAAATAACGTTGACATCTGAGCGTTTATTTATTTTAATGTACCCTTGTTTCCTTTTCTAAGTAATAATGCATTGTACAGTGCACCAAAAAAACGAATCACCCTGAATAATTTTTGATCTAATGATCGGATCTTCACGTTCTAGGACTCATTCTTAATGGCTCGAGATAGTGACCGTATGCATGCTAATTACTCAGTGCAGACAATATTTTAAGTTACTAAATCAGACGCAAAAATTTCAGTTCCCTGAACAAAGATACTTTTTTTTCAACGGATTCGGATTTCTGACCTTTAATCTGATTCGGATTTTGACATTGAAGCTGAAATCTAGAAAATATGGTCTCCATAGTTTGATCAGAAGATCCACCTTAAGTTTGAATAACTTAATGTTAATTTTACTTCGTGCATTTTTTAACCGAGTTAATTTATATTACATTGTCATGCAATTGTTTCAGATAACATTTTACAGTTATTTTTGATTTTAACAAAGAACATCAATTGTCATGTATATCAGGCATCAGCGATGAAAATATTTGTTAAAATTTTATTCCACTATTCTAAGACCGAAGCGAACTATTAAGAGTTACAATGACATATCTTTTAAAAGAGAGTAAACTTTAGAAAGGTTGCAGCCGATGCCAACGTTTTAAAGAAAAAGAGCGAACATTTAGAAGATCGATAGGTTAGTAAGAGATACGATATCCCTGAAGATAAAGTATCGAAACTGATTCCCTATATTTCTTTGCAGATGCTCCGATACTGTCGGTATCTTTTGGTGCAAGTCAGCAACATGAGAATATCCGGGAGGGAAGTGACGTTTATTTCGATTGCAACATCCAAGCAAATCCTCCTGCCACAGATATCAGATGGAGATTTAAATCAAAGCCCCTCCTTCACAATCCTTCCCAAGGAGTGATTCTTAGGAATTACACACTTCTCCTGCAGAACGTGAAAAGAAGTCAAAGGGGAAGATATAAATGCATGGCTTCGAATTTGGAGGGAGAAGGTATCAGTGAAGAAATCAATTTGCGCGTTCAGTGTAAGTTGTTGCACGGTTTCATTATATTTTCAGATTTTACAGTGTTAGAATTTTTGTTGAGATAATTATTGATTAAAAGATAATTAAAATAGCTCAATTAAACTAAATTATCATGCAGTTATTGCAACACGTTTACATACTGAACGGTAGGAAATAAGCTGAACACAGAAGCAAAATAGTTTCCTTGCTTATAATACAGTATCGATGCTGACTACATAGCCACGATTAGACCATTGGTCAAGAAATTGTGGTATCTAAACCTCCATGAACTCACAGCCCTGAGCGGGCTTTTACGGGGATGCTTTAATTCATAATACAGTGTTAGAAAACGGAATACAATCTTGGCTTCTAATACGAACGAAGATGGTATGTGAGGAACCCAAGGGAAGAACATTTATTGTTCATAAAAGCTGATTCTGAGAAGAAAAAAAAATTTGCGAATGAAAAAAATAAGGTTTTTCACTGTACGGCTCTTCTTAATTGTGTAAGAACACTCAGAAAGCACAAATTTGTTACGTTATTAATTTTTTAAAACTAAATAATCCTAAAAGAGCAACTGGTGAAGATTCAGTCGTTATTTTTTTGCGAAATATGGGTAAAAACAGTTGCTCCATATTCGTCTTTATATGTAAAGAAATAAATGTACGCATCCATTGTGCGTTGTTGCACTGTTTTATTACATTTTAGATTTCGCATTAGGATTTTTTGTTTATAAAATTTCATTTCAAAATATTAAAAAAAAAAGTTCTAAACGAAATCCTCAAAATGTTGTTGACGCATATGTACTGTATGTCCAGAAATATTTTTGATACAGATGCTTAATAATTTTACTACTTATAATACAATGACTAATGGAAAAATGTAAGTGAATATCTTCAAATTTCGAAAGAGATGGTACAAATGAATAATTCAATTCTTAAATTGTGTGTAAATTGAGTTAAACTGCATTTTTATATTCAGTGTTCGAATTATTTGAAGAACATTCAAAACAAAATTATTAAAATAGTATTATCGAGAAAAATTAATAAAATAATAATGAAACGAGCTTTTTCACACAGCAACAAGAAATAATTTCACATCAAATACACTATCATTTTAATATTTTCCATATATATTTACTTATTTTTCAACTAAACTGGAAAGCATCATTGCATATAACATTCAAAATATAACATTCAAACATTCTACCTACAAAATTTTCCACTTTGAGAGGCAACTGAACTATTGATATTTTGTCCTACTTCTTACCAATGAAAATTTCAGGACTGAAATCAGTTTTAGCACAAATCCTTCTCTCCAAGAATATTCAATGGATTCAAGTCAGGTGAATTAAGTGGTCATTCTTCAACCGTAAAAGTAAAGAAAATGTACATTTCATTCCATTCGCGTACTTTGGCTGAGTAGGTTGGAGAAAAATGATAGTTAACCTAATTGTTATAAAAATGTTTTATATTGTGTTTGATTCATAGTATTTGATGACAGATGGAATTATTTGTTTTCAAATTTTGTTCCATTTATCCTTTGACAATGTTACCACTAAGCGTGTTGAATCATGTAATCGTGAAATTCTGAATCAACTAACCTTAAATTGATTCAGATAGTGCGATTTTTTGAATTGGTTACGTGCTACGTTAGTTCAACTTAAAGGATTTAAATTTTTCCTTTAAAAAAGAAGCTATTTTTTTTTTTAAATTTAAGCTTGTGACTTTCAAAATTATTTTTTAAATATTAAAATTTTTTTTCTGTTAAATAATTGTCATTAAACGTACAATAAAATTTCTAAGAATGAAAGTTGTAAAATGAAGCGTTATGAAGTTCTCCATATACCCCCTCCCAAAAAAAAAAAAAATATATATATATATATACTTTTTTCAATACTACGCAGACTGATTCATTATCTATTTAAATATTTTAGACTGCAGATAAGTGAATAGTTTATTTGAAATAATTAAGGATTTTTTCTTTGTATGGATAAATTAGGATCATTATTCAAGTCCATTAAAATTTTGAAATTATTTAGACACTGCAAGAAATAACGATTTTTATTTCAAAACTTATTCGGATTTTTTTTTAAATTTATTTAAAACTTATTATCGTAACATATACAATATAATACAGTTAAAATCCTCGAGTATAACTTTGCCACCCAAAACAAATTCTCCAAACCTTTTTTTTTGTTGAAAAAAAATTGATTTCAAATTTTCAAAATTCTACGCATTCCAAGATTCTAATTGAACATATTATGCATTAATTTAAACTATGTAGATAAATTTGTATTGTATTTTTCACAAGTGTGACTTTAAAAGTAAAAAAAAAATAAGGGGTCCTTTAGAATTTTTCTTTCTAAAGGATCAGATGAAAATGGAATAATGGAAAGGTCAAAGTTGTTCAAAGTGACGTTTATTTCGATTGCAACATCCAGACAGACTTNAGATATAGATATATATATATATAGATAGATAGATAGATATATAAATATATATATATAATTCAGTAAAAAAGTTGACAAATGACTTAACTTTGCGCCTTTCACTTTTTGTGTTATGTTTTAAGCATTACTTTTTGTCGCGCAATTCCAGCGGCAAGAAAGTTCTGGAGAAAAGGATAAGAATAATATCTGTCTAAAACTGTTTCTCTCTTTGGTTAGCCATCAGTGAGGGCCCCCATGGGCCTCGTCGGAAGTAGCCCTGCTGGGAGGCATCAAACAATTCAAGAGTTCAGCTCCAGTAAAAGTGATAATTCTATTGTGTTCAGAAAGTGGAAGAAATATTTCTTTCTTTCCCCCTTTTCTTTTGATGGGTTTCTTTTTCTCATCGATAAAAAATGCCATTTCACTTTTACAAAGAAACAGCCTGAGAAATATGTTTAGTATTAAAAATAATTTTAGTAAAATAAGAATATTTTGAAGGAACGCGTATCTTAGGGAGAATTTTTGAAAAATACCTATTGGAAATGATTCATGTAGCTAATTAGTAAATTCTAATGGTGTGCATNAGAAACAGCCTGAGAAATATGTTTTGTATTTAAAATAATTTTAGTAAAATAAGAATATTTTGAAGGAACGCGTATCTTAGGGAGAATTTTTGAAAAATACCTATTGGAAATTATTCATGTAGCTAATTAGTAAATTCTAATGGTGTGCACATATGATATCAACAAGTAATGTTTCTTTCAGGCAAATTTGGTTGTTAAATTCTGATAGCATAGTTCTTTGCTTCACAAGTTGTTTTTCAAATTGTTTAAATGTTTTTTTCTGTTTAGAGCTTCTTTTGCAACTAAAAACAAATAAACTGCGATGCTTTAAGGGTATATTAATTCCTAAATTGCATCATTAATATTCTTTTAATGTTATATTAATGACATTTATATTCAATTGCTTTGTAGATTATTAATAAAATCTGTATGCTAGAAGGAAATTCGACACATATTGTTTAATCATGAAATAAAGCTTTATTTTTTTATTTTATCTCTCAAAAATATTTCTAGTTATTATATATTTTAATCATTTGTCTTTTTTGAGAAATTAAATGAAATGTGGCGGAGAATCTGTAAATTTCGTAATTTGGTTACATTAATTTAAAGAACAATGCTGCAGTATAAAGTATTGAGAATGTATTGTATTCAGCTTTATTCGAAACTGACTATAGATAATATTTTCCATTGCTCCTGATTGACTATTTTTTTTAGATTTTATTGCTGTGTTTTTATTTTTATTTATATAAACCGTTTTCTTTTTTTTTCATTTTCACTTTCTTCATTTTTATTATGAGTTAAAAGGCTTAAAGTATCAACGTTTATTTTGTTATTTTAACTTTTTAGAAATTTTTGAATGCCGGGATAGCCTGGTTGGTAGGGCACTGGACTCATGTTCGTGAAAACGGGATTTCAAACCCATCAGGCAGAAGACTCCCTGTGAAGTAAATGGTGACTAGTGCATGTTAAATCAGTCGGGTCAAATGTCCTCCATGTTCCCTTGCCCTTATGGCTAACTGCAACAACAACAACAGCAGCAATTTTTGAAGAGTTTCATATATTTATTTAAATAAACTCTAAAGAAAATACATTTTTAGTGATAAATAAATTAATTAATTTTTTAAAATTAAATGAATGAGTTATGAATTAAATTCATTCTAGATAAATATATAACTCCTCCTATTCTCGGAAGTACAAAAAATAGACGAAATGCATGCGTTGATGTAATACCTCATGTTTTATTTTGTGTCTCGATTGGCTATCATATGAACAAAAGTGAAAAGTGTTAGTAACAGCGTACCAGTGAAATGAAAGCTCGATCAAATTATAAGTGCTTTTCGCCTCTAATGAATAACATTAAATTTTATGAGGAAGAGACAAGAGATTGGCTGATGTAAGAAGACAAATGTATTTATTACTCCTAACTCCAAGATGTTAAAAAATTTAAGAAAAATGTCCAAGCAATTTTGGGTAATTTTTTTAATCATCTAGTTATTATATATTATTGTGTGAAAACATGCAAACCACTTGTTAAGCTTTGCCTTAGCTAATTAAGACATTTGTAAAATTATGGAGAACGCGTGTTGAAATTCCTCATTAATGTTTTTTGTCTGCGATATACTAATTTCATATTTCGATTATTTTTTTTGGTCGTTTCCTTACAAATATACCTAAGCTTATTGTGGAAAAAGTAAATGAAGGTGACATTTACTAGGCACAGATATCCAACGTTTAATAGGTTCAACAAGACTCCATATTTTTATTTAGTTAATATTATGAGCTTACTACTCGAAGGGTCATGTTGCCAAACCAGTGATGAAAGAACAAAGATCTATAACATTTGTGTTTTAATGATATGGAATCGTAAAACGATTATATAACTTCGGAAATCTCCTCTCACCCCGCTTCTGATCGTTGTATGCAGCTGTGTTTCCTGCAGTTCTTCCTCAGAGATTCTAATTTAAACTATTCTGGTGAACTAAATCATTTTTTTGTTTTCCATGGAGAAATGGAATTAATTTGTAAAAGCTAGACATAATAATTGTAATTTCAAAATAAACATTTCTGACTAAAAGGTTTGGCTTAATTAATTCTGTTTAATTGATGTCTCTTGGCTAAGCGGAATCAATAAAACTGATTTTTAATGTGCTTCTGGAAAAATAAATTTTGAAAGGATTAATTCAAAATTTAATAGCCCAGCTTCATTAAAAACTGACTGTACTTTTTTTAAAGAAATAGTCAAGGCAGAAGTTTAAGATAGTGACATCTTTTTTTATCATTCTATGAAGTACCTAATCACTTTCATGAAAAATAATATTGTTTCATGATTATTGAAAACATTATTCATAGTGATAAATGAGAACTTCGCGTGAATTGCTTAACTTCATAGACATTTCATAATAAATGCCTCTTGATTTTAAAGCATCAGACCATTCGAAAAGGTCGAAAGTCCAATATTTGTACGAGATGGTTGGACTCCATCAACGCATAGAAACAGTCACGAGTCACTTGACTCCGTTAAATGTCTCCAAACTATAATTAGATGCTGCATCCTTTCTCTATAGCTACGATTATAATTAGTGGTTTTGGGTCTTGTATAAGAGAAGTGCTTTCATCGAAGTATGGTGAATGGCTAAATGAATGTACTCATCATTGATTACAGCCTCCATTATTCAATGAAATTGTAGTCGATAAAATGTAAATAGTAGGTATTGATTTCCAAATAAATGAAATGGCTTCCTACTGAGGTGGTAAATTTTAATCTGTTTATTTTTATTCAAATATTTTGAATGCTTACGTTTGTGTTCATAAATTAATGTAATAAAACGTTATTACTCTTATATAATAATGGAAACTCGAAATATTTACTTTAGCATTTTTTTACGAAAGGAGCATATTTAAATATATTTTGCTCCACTTTAATTTTAAATTCTCAGATTTAAAATATTTCAATGTTATATATACACTGAATGCTAAGGCATACAAGTCATTGTCAACTAAAATTATAGGATGTCAACTAAAATTTAGGATAAGCATTAAATATTATTATATTTATTTATTATTTATTTATTATTCATTTATTTTGTTTTATTATTCATGTTCATCATTGTAAATTCTCATCTTCTTTTGTTTTCAAACTGGAAATTGTTTTGTATCCTTGTGTTGATCAATAAATTTTCACCCCGGATGCCCCCGCTAGGGGGCGGGACGGGGCTGATCTTTGAATATTACACATAAATTATGACGCATTGTTGAAAGGTTTTTTGCACAAAATAAAATAAACAGGATGGGAAGCTAGTACTATACTACTACCCATGTAGTAGAGAGCCATCAATTTTAAGTCAAAAGTGCGTATATTTCGCCTTTAAATTATATGAAGCATACGTAAAATTTACGTAAAACTGAAACGTCGAATTATATTAAAAAATGGTTAGCCAGAAAACGTAAATTTTACGTAAACAGTTTTGTTTCTTTTACGAACATTTTACCAACCACTTTTCACTAGGTAAGAATGAGTATGTTAGTTTTACATATTATTTACGTCAACAGCACATAAAAATGTATGTAAATTGAAACGTCAAATTGAAGAAAATGTGGTTATTCAAAAATTAAAAAATCTGCGGAAATAAATTCGAACCAAAATTTAAAAGGTAAATTTGCTTTGTCAATAATACCTAAAATACGCAGAATCATTTTTAATAAATCCAAATAGTAAATAATCTTTCATCGTAAAATATACGAAAGCAATCTTACAAAAGGGTAATTGGTAAAATCCATTCCGTTAATATTATGTGAACTATACCAAAACTTTTTTACCAAATACCTCAATGATAATATCTTTCCGTCAATATTACGTAAAATTTACGTATAAAACATTGTGACTTTACTGATTTCCCAAAATTCTACGTTTAATTTACATCCCATGCTACATGGGTAGTTAGTACCAAAAATTTAAATCTAAGTATTTTATTGAAGATATAGACCATCATTGATAAAAACTATGATGTTACAAAAAAAAGGTTCGTAACATCAATTAAAGAAAATTTCCTGCATAATTTGATAAATGTTGTACAAACTCGATAATTTTCTTGTGAAGTAAATATATTTTGATTTTTAGTTGCTCCTGTTTGTGTGAAAGACCAGAAAACAACGTATGGTGTAGCAAGGCACGAAGAGGCGAATATAACATGTGCAGTTGAATCAGATCCCCCTGAAACAGCCTTCAAATGGTCATTCAATAATAGTCTTTCAGAAACAATAAAAATTCTTTCTTTTCACAATGACGGTGCTTCAAAGAGTGTTGCCAGATACATACCCCGAACAAAATTGGATTATGGTGCTCTGTATTGCTTTGCGCAAAATGCTGCTGGAACAATGAAAGATCCATGCGTATTTACTATAATGCCGACAGGTAACTCAATATTTTTTTCCTCCCATTTTTAAATCTATTTCCTTTACTTCTCCAAGTTAGCAGGCATTTTTGGAGCTAACGGGAACTCTAAAACATAGGATTGTTTAACATTATAATATGAATGAAATTCTTCACTTAACATAGGGTTGTGTAACATTATAATATGAATGAAATTCTGCACTTAACAAAGGGTAGTTTAACATAATAATATGAATGAAATCCTTCACTTAACATAGGGTTGTTTAACATTATAATATGAATGAAATTCTGCACTTAAAAAAGTAGCAAAGCAAATTTATTTTCTAAAAGCATTTTTTTTCGCTTTTTTTGAATTATGAAGCATTTTTTTTTCGCTTTTTTTGAATTATGAAGCATTTATTTGGAGATCAGTAGTATGTATTTTATTGTCTAAAGCTAATTCATTATGCAAAACTAGCCAGCATTTTTTTAGCACCTTAAGTGTTCTTGATAAAATGAAACTATTTGTCAATTTTTAATATAAACTTAATCCAGTTTATTGTTTGTTAAATATTTTTAATACTGGAACAATATACTTTTAATACTTGTAATTGGATACTGATAAAAGAAATATGTTCAAGTCCACTTAGTGTTAAAAACAAAATTTGCATTTAAATAGGAAACAACTCAGTGTTGTTTTAAATAGTTTCAACACCAGTTGTTCAACACCAATGTTGTTTTAAATAGCTTTTAAATAGACACAATAAAAGACCCATAATAACGCTATACGGCAAGTCATTTATTTTAGTTTCTTAATTTCAATTTCTATGCATTTAATTTTTTTAAAACTATAAATAAGATACGTTAACTAATAATATTTATATTAATTAGTTCTTTATGTACTGCAAAAGTTGTAGCACTTTTCTTAAAAAGTAGTATATTACTAGATAAAGGATGAAACTGTTTAATTAATTATCACATATACTTTACTCTTATCTGTAAGGCGATAAAGAAAATTTATCCTTTCTACTATTCAAGAGCTTTTTGAATATCTTTTTTGCTATTATTGTTGTTTTCCCAGACATCTATTGTGTACACAAAGAAACCAATCCTTTTTCTCCCCATTCTCCAAAAGAGGTAGTATTCATCTTTCATTTCAAATACGAGAAGGCACTTCTCCTAATTGGTAGAAATCTCGACCAATGGAACTGACTGATTCATTTCCATTTGAGTGGTTAAGAGATATTTCTAAGGGAAGAGTGTTTCTATCTGTATTATCGGTGTATTTAAATGAAAGATGAAAACAAAAAAGTAATTAGAAACATAGAAGCTGAATTATTAAAATTTCAAATGCAAAAGTAATTTTGTTTTATTTTTTCCGAATTTATTTTAGAATGTAACTGGAAAAAAATTACTTGAAGTTTTAAAGAAAACCCGGTACACATGTCATAAAAGTAGCGGACAATTTCCATGGGTCCAACGCTAATTCTATGAGTATTTACTTTATTATGAGTGTTATGAGTGTAAATACTTTAAATTTACTTTCAGTACTGAAACTTCCAAATCTTGATTTAGTTTATTTCAACATATGAATGAAATAGAAAATCTAGAATAGCTGTATTGTAGTAACATTTCTTGTTAAAAAGAAATTCTGATTAATTAAACTAAGTATATGCTATTGAAAGCATTCATTTGGTAATTTTACCGCTCAAAAGGTATTGATTTACTGGAAATTCTGGTTTTCGAAATTCTGGTTCCTAGTTCATATTAGCACACATTTAGTAAAAAATACCAAACTCAAAAATAAAATCAATTGAATTAATGGTTTTTATACTAGGTTCTCAAGTATCATGATAATATTAAAAAAATTTACCACACATTTAAAAACCATATTTTATTGTTAATTTTACCAAGGCGTTTCGGTAAAAGTTTTTTGGTCTTCCAATAGGGCCAGAAACACGGCAAATGATATCATTGTATGGAAGTTTAGACCACACTTTTTTTCTCAGTGTAATATAAAATAAATGCGGTCTATATTAAAAATTATGAATTGATATTTCCAGTGGTACATCATTTAAGAGATTTACGAACTTCATAAAGGCTCTAATTAGTTCGTATTACTTCGAGTCGCAAGATGAGAAATACGTGTATCCTTAACTAGTATAATTATGGAAAAAATGACATGGAGCTTAAGGTATTTAAATTAATTCATGGTAAATATATAAAGCAAATAATCTGTATTGCGTTTAAAATAAATTCAAATATTTTGCTTGAAATATGTGGTAGGTAGAGTTAATATTTTAAATCAATTTTGTTAGTATTTTTCTAATTTTCTATTCTGTATTTAATTTTTTTAATTATTATTACTATAATATAAGTGGATAAATTTGAGCTAAATAATGGTAGCAAATAAAGTTTTAGTACTAGTAATAAATAAAGATTAAAGTGTTTAAAAATAACATTAAATGTATCGCCACTGTTATAATTACATGGAATGATTAGTCGGTAACTCTAACTGTTCTACATTTGAATACTTAAGAAATAAACTCAAAATAAACTATTTGCATTCTTCAATATAATATATAGAGCAAAAAGTATCAAGCACAATCAAATAAATTTAATGTTTAAGGTTATATTTATGAATTTATTGTTGCATATACCAATTATTTTAATAATTAATTAAATTATTTTTATTTTATTTTTTGATTTTTTAATTTTCTACTGTTACTATCTATTTTAGCACTCCTAGTGTTTGGAATCTGAGTTAATATTGCCTTGCAAAGAAATGCTGTCATTTCTATCTCAACTTTTTTTAGATAGAAAGTATTTATTATTTGAAAATTATGCAACTCTATCCTCTGTCCTGTACATACATTCTCAGATAACCAATGATTTTGCTATAAAATACTACAATGACAAAAGAGGGTAATTCAAGATGAAGCATGATTCTTTTCCTCTTTGTAATACAAATTCTCTGATTTATGCAACTAGGGAAAAAATCATGCAATACTTTTCCAACCATACTTAGAAATAGCAATGTCATATAGACAAATGGAGTTTGTTTATACAAACATTAATATGTAAATTTAAAAATACATTCGTAAATGTAAAAAAAAAGTCACCGTGAGACGATTAGTGATTGTTGAAGCATTAAAAAAGTGTAAATTTAGGTGTGATAAAATTAATATATATTATTGCATAATGAGAGCTTTTAAAGTAAATGACATATTATTAAAAATTTGAATGACTAAAAAGAAAATCCACAAAACTTAACGCGCATCTAACTTCACGTAAACAAAGCTGTTTTCTCCAACTCCGAGAAAAAAGTCCTATTAACGGTATAAAGGAATTAATTTCCGGTTATTTGAAAAATGTAATATTTTTAATCAACCAAAGAAAAAAAAACATTTTAACGGGGTTAATACTTGTACGAAATATTGGTGTATAGAGAGTTATTACATATGATAATTCCCTTACTCTTCTAATTGGAATTGTTGTGTTGGTGTTAATGTAGTATTAAACATTGCTGTGGTGAACTTTTACAGTACGTATTATTACTTTTACTTTAATTTTAGGACCCCCAGAACCAGTACAAAATTGCTCAGTAACGAATCAGTCTGCCAATTTTCTCATGTTATCTTGTGATGCTGGCGATGACGGAGGATTACCTCAGACATTTCACTTGGAAGTTTATAGTATGAGTGCTGAACAACTTATAATGAATATGTCGGTGACAGAGACACCAGTTTTTGTAGCAGAAAAACTTATTTCAAGCTCATCTTATATTTTAGTTTTATATTCTTCAAATACCAAAGGAAGGAGTACATCTGTTGCACTAACTGCTCACACTTTATTTTCAGCTGAGCCTAGAACAAGTGAGTTGATTTCTATATATTTAGCCTAATTTTAGAGTAATTCCATTGAAAAACATTTTGTACTTTCTAATTAATAGAAAATATTAAGGAAAAATTTAGAAATAAGAGCTCATCAAAGTACTTTCTGTTTAATTTACATCTACAAAATGCATGAAAAGTAATTTTAACTAATAAATACATTTTATCTGTTAATCAAATTTACGTGCATTGAGATTCATGTAATGTAATTTTAAATTACAAAATTCAAAATTTGCACGAATTCAGAGAAATTAAAATTTGAAAATACTTTTTTTTAAAGTCTCCCTTGATGATTTATTTTGCGTATAATTTTTTCAACCTATGATATCAGGATTTTAAAATTTCAAATAGCGTAATATATAAATATATAAATAAATAAATATATATATATATATATACCTTTCAAATTGGAAGTATTAATGATAATTACTTTTTCAGATATTCATAAATTAAAGAAAAATCATAAAAAACTACTTTTTCATACAATTTTTTTTTCTGAAATGCGTTAATAATTTTGTTAAATGATGTCTTAATTCATGTAAATAATTGTCTACAATATTACAAGTTACGCAAAAATAAATGCTTAAATAAGAAAGAAATATGTCGTACAATTTTTAGAACTGCTTCATTAAACTTTAAAGGTAGTTAGTATTTCTCAAATTAACGCTGTCTTCCGTACCCTGAGGTTAAAAATTCGAATTATTTATAAAAGGAGACTTTTATTCCAAGAAAAAAAATTAAGTTCCTTATTTCAATTATATGCACTTAAAATTCAGGATCAGCTTCAAAGTAAAGAAGATATGGATTATCATGAATAACAATGAAGGAAAAAAAATTAAAAACTCTGTTATTCAAGTTCACTAAAAAAATAATAATAATGATTCTATTATTAAGGGGAGGGGAATTTTAGGTGGTGAAAAAATTCAAATATGAAAATGAAGATAACCTTTTTCACTTTTGCCTTTTTGTGTCGACTTATAAAAATAAAAATAAAATAATTGACTCATTTCTAATCCCTTTATAAAAAATATAAATGTATAGTGTCTACTACTAAAAAAAAAGTTTGGTAAATTTGTTAAAATTAAAATTTGGTAAATTTGCTAAAATTAAAATTTATTAAATTTGTTAAAATTAAAATTTGGTAAATTTGCTAAAATTAAAATTTGTTAAAATTAAAATTTGGTAAATTTGTTAAAATTCGGTTAATTTATCTAGATACGTTAGAGTATTGCATAAAAGGCAGTTATTTGTTTAAATTTACTTTTCAGTTTTGTAATTTTTACTAACTATGTAATAATAAGAACTATAGCTTTTAAAACTGGAATTTTCGTTAAATCATTACCAAATGAACGGAAAAATTATCAAGTCAATGATTTAAATACCTTATATATTTGGTTTTATTAAGCAGAATTATAGTTTTTTTTTAAACCAGGATTGTCATTGTCATACAGTACGGTAATTTTACTAGATTTTTTTTCTCTGTGTCTGACATCAAACTTCTTAAACAATACTTATTTGATTGGCAAACCTGTTAGTTTCTGCATGACTTTAATTATTACTATTAATTACAATTAACTTATAAAATATAGCATATATTTAGTCCAACAAATAAAGTTTTCTGAATTCTTCAATGAAAAAGATATTAAATACTACCTTAGCTTTAGTACTGAATTCTTGACTTCCAAATATAAAGATGCGAGTGATAATCATCAACATTTGAACTTCGATATAACCACCATTCATTATTTATAGCTTGTTTATAACGCATTGTATTACACGAGAAGTGCCTTTTTACGAACAGTGAGTTAAAGGTTTGTGAGAATAACATAGTTCACTTTTCGGAAAAATATTTTATTTTTGAAACTAGAATGAATCATTAATTTTAAAAGAGAAAAATATTTGCTACCAATGATAAAAAATATAGATATAATTATGTTTAAAAATATGTTTTATTTCTTTTGCATCATTTTTGCTTTTCTCTAAAAAGTAGAAAGAAAATGGCAAACTCTGACTAAATAAATTTTTTTCTCTAGTTTAAAATCCTAGTATTTTCTCTTATTTAATGAGAAAAACCATTAAGGACTTCAAATAAAATATAAAAGAAATGACTGATGAATAATGCAGATGTAACTCATCTTTTTAAAAAGTTTCACAAAAAATCAATGGTTTTAACGGTTACTTTGATTTATTTTCGAATTATCTGAGCAAAAATGGATTTAACGAACATTATACGCTATTCAATCATTTAATTCCTTTTTGACTTTATAATAATATGCTGTTTTAAGATTAAGAAATACATAATTAATTAGACAATATTAGCTATACACATTTTGTGTATGATAAACAAAATAAATATAGAAGTGCCTTTGTAGTATTACCTGCATATTTCTTAAGAATTAAATCTGTTTAGATTGGTAGGTATGCTCACCTACGTTATAGATTATGAAATAAATTAACAATAATTCATAAAATGTACCAAGATGCGAGTAAACCTATAAAGTCAAGTTTTACCTATAAAGTCAAGAAATAATGCTTAGAACCGTTACGTTCATTTAATAAAGGGAGGAAATGACAACGTCTCAAATAAATAGAATCAATGATACCACGTCTGTTTATTTGTGTCCGTTGTTTCGCATCCGTTTCTCATCTCACCACTTTACACGATCAGTTTGAATTTTTACAGTATGAAGAGGAGTATAACTTAAAATCTTTATCCTAATTCGTTGAAATTTTGAAATGAAAAATGGAAAACTTATTTCTTAGTGAGTCAAATAGCAGTGAACAATAAGACTTTTTCGAGGCTTGCAAATGTTTTCTTAATAAATCATTTTTGTATTATCTTATAACAATTTTCAATAGTTTTGTTTCTTCCTGTGAAATATCTTTTCAAATACATACAAATCTTCTATGCGAGTCGTCAAATTAGCGACACCCCAATACGGGTGACACGGCCCGATCAGAAACTTTGCTGTCACCCGAATATGGGTGATGTTCCCGTCAATGTGTTAATCAGAACTCTCCGGGGAATAACGTTATTTTTCTACATTGTGTTATGCATCAAGATCTCTATGTAAATCTGCATTGGATATGAAACCTGTGCTTGATCCAGTAGTAAAGTTTGTTAATATTGTTAGATCTCGTGGGCTTACCGATTCCGAGATTTTCTTCTGTCCGTGCAATCTGAATACTCTGATGTTCTGTATTACACGAAGTGCTTAGTGTTGGATGTGTTTCTGAGCATTTTTGGCAGCTGAAAGACGGCATTGTGTCGTTCTTCCTTCAGAAAGTGTTCAGCAGAGAGCGAAATTTTAGAAAATACGGAATGGCTTTCAGACTTTGCGTTTTTCTCTGATCTTCTTCGTCAGATGATCAACTTGAACGTTGAGATGTTAGAGAAAAATCAGGTTATCGATGATATCTGGGCCCATCTCAAGGCTTTTAAACTGTAGCTTAATCTTTTCGCTGGGCAGCTGGCTAAGAACGACATGTCTCATTTCTCGAGGTTAAATTCAATATCCTCAATAAATAAGGAAAAGCATATGAATTATGAAGATGACTAGAAAAAACTCCATTTTGAGTTTGAACGCAGATTTCAGTGCCATTCAAACGGAATTAGCTATTTTTATCTTGCCTGACAGGGTAAATCACGAATCAGTGTGGTCAGATTTGCAGCTTTAATTAATTGATTTATAATCTAACAAATATCTGAAGCAATTGTTCCTAAATATGCCAAATTTAGAGTTTTTACAAATTATTAACAAAAGATAGTTTCCCAAATTTAATATCTCGTGTACCTCCTATAAAATCGGTGCTATGCTTCATGTTATAGATGTGAGCAAGTGTTTTCAACTATGAGCCTTAGAAAAACAAATTTCAGAAGTAGACTAACAGTTAAGCATTTAGCCTTTCTCTTAAGAATAAGCACATCTCACTTCGAACCTCAATATAAGGAATTTTTAAATATTACGTCGCAATTTCATGCACCTCATTAAATACTTAAACTAAAATTTGTGTATCGTTTTTATTTTATTATTTTAGAAGTTTCTACTTAGCCCACCCAAATTTTTTTTCGATTTTTCGCCCTTAATCAAAACATTTTGCCCATCCCTGATCCACATGTATTGAAAAAGAAATTTCTTGTAAAGAAAAAAAAAATTAATAAAACATAATTCTGGTAGTGAAATTAAAATGTATGGTATTTAATCGGCAATTTTTGCGTACGTATTTTAACGGTTTACTGGAAATTCTGGTTTTTAATAATTTATTATTGCACATTTAGAAAATTACAAAGCTCGAAAGTATATTTTACCGTATAAATAGTTTTTATGCCATTCTCTAATGTATCATTAAAAATCATTAAATTTTATCACACTTACTACCAAACAGCATGGCAATAAAACCATATTTTAATGTAAATTTCACCATAATGCCTTACCAAAGCGCTTCAGTAAAAATTACAGCACTAGTTTGCATTTAATTTCGTGTTATTCATGCTTTCTCAATTGTAAGAGTCAGAAACTAGGTAAATTTTACCGTATTCTGATAGTTTAGAACATTCATTTTTCCTCAGTGAATAATTATACGTCTTAATTGTTATATAATTCGCCTTTCGAAAGTTAAGCACTTTATTTTAATGTCCAAAATATCTACCATTTTTTAACATACTTAACCCCTTCCTTCTCGCTCCCGTGAAAATGATGGGGTGAGATTTCACCCGCTATTTCTCGCTCCCGTGATATTGACGGGCTGGAGTGTTCAGTAGTAAAGTGTCAATAAGATTATCACTAATTAATTCTTTTGCCCGGAAAACATTTTATTTATCATTTTACACACCCGATGACAGTACCAGGATATTTTTAAGGTAATTGTAGATAGTTAGTTTATTTTAAACTAGTTACAGCACTAATCAAATACGTAATACAAATACAAAAGCCAAGAAAATAGGCACTTTTATGACCGTTTTCTTGAAAATTAAGCGATCGTTAAGGGGTTAATTGAATAGTCAAATATATTCTTAAACCAATCTTAAATTATATTCCTTGAAGTAAATATCCAATACATTATGTTATAACAGCTAGATTTACTATCGTTATTTAATATATATTTTTTTGAAAAATATTTCTAAACAATTCTTCTTCAACATATATTCTTCTTCTGATACACCCGCCAAATTTAATAAAAAGAATACAATGCATAACTATACGTCCTACTTTCGTTAAGTAATTGTAATACGTCAATATATCATAACAGTTTTTCTTAAATGGAATCAAGAAGCATTACTTTAATGGCACACTTTCAGAATATCAGATAACTTTACATTAGAAATCACCCAGCCCTGAAAAAAATCTTCAAAGACGTAACTTAAGAAAAATCGAGTTTTCGTTGAAACTTTCTGAAGTGAACATGTGTTGTAGAAATAAAAAGAAAAATAAATAAATTTTGCACTTTTAAGTAAGTCGAGGCAAATCGCTTTACCGCACCACTTTGTTTGAAATTTCCGAAATACTTCATAAAATGAATCGGAAGACTCCATGAAAAATCTAAAAAGTAAGATGTTCGCGTCAGTCACTTTCAGTACTCAGCTTTCTGAAAAGTAATTATTGATTACTCAACATTCCTTCTTTAGCTTTTATGCCATTTTTTTTTTGTTTTCATTCTCGCTTTTATCGATTTTTCATTTTTGTAAAAGAAGAAGGTGAAAAGTTTAGAGCGTTAATGCAACTTTTACAGTAAATAAAAATGTCTTTTTCATGAAGAAACTGAATCAAATTTATCGGTAAATAACTGTGATATTTTCTTCTTAAGATTTCAATATTAGCTATTAGCTTTTGTATTCTTATTCCTTGAAAGAGGTAAATGCAACCTAAGTTAGGACATTAGAAAGATTGGAAATATGTTTTAAAGATATGACTATCTAGGTTTTTAAAATTACTTAAAAGTCTTTTGTTTTTGTTTTGTTTTGATTAATTTATTTCTTGTAGAGAGAACTGTGCAGCTGTCAACTTTATTTTAGTAATTGACAGAAGATAAAACAAATTGAATGAAAGAAGATGCAATTTACTTTTAGGGTATTTCGTAAAAGAATTTTTAAGTTCACAAATCCAAATTTTCAACATAATCATCACTTGACACTTTTCTTTTTCAAAAGTGTCTCTTGATTGTCAGTACATCCCAGATGTAATGGGGTTTTCGTGAAAGCAAAATATTGGTTCAATTTTCAACATTAATAGTTAGTTTAAGAATAGTATTAGAATACAATTTTTAGCAATATGTATAAAATACTTCCTCACTCACTTATATTCACAATTTGTCAAAATAATTTTTAAAAAAATTCCTATTTTTGCTATATTAGAATATAATTCAAAAACGGTATAGACAGTCTTAAGCATTTATTATTTATTATTTTAATTTATTAGATCTGCATACATTCCTCATTAATCAAGTGCATAAGAAATTCAGCAAAGATAGAAAGATTATAGTTTTATATTGATTTAAAAGAAATAAATGCATGAAAACATTGAATCATTAGTAGAACCAAGTTACATTTATATTAAGCTATCAGATTACAATCAAGCATTTGTTTAAAATTATTAGATAATTTATGGAGAAAAATGTACTACAGAATCACATACAAAATCACAACAGATGAAACTATAAACATAATAGGAAAAGTACAAAAATTCATGATACGTAAAAAAATTACTTTTTATACTTATATTTGGAATATGTTTTAAATTTACTTCCGATATTGGGATAAGACGCTGGAATCAAATTAGTTTCTAACGTTTGATTTTTTTTCTTCTAGGTGATACACAGCCAGTTACAATTAGTGCTGTATTAGTTGTTTTAATGGGAACAGTTGGAGCTCTCGTATTTTTAGCCATTTTAATTATTTTAATAATGAAGTCAAGAGGTGATAGAAGAGGTAAGCTTAAGTTGATAATTTATTTTACATTTGATGTTAAATTACAATTTGTTGCAAAGCTTTATAACTCCATTGGTTCAAAGGAAAACAATCTGCAGAATAGATAAATAAACAGGGTCAAATGAAACAAACGAACTAAAATATAAAGGTTATAAAAGTCCCCAACGTAGGGCCGGAATTCAAAGGTATTTCATAAGGTGACATCAGATAATCCAGACAAGAGATAATAAGGTGACATCAGATAATACAGACATGAGATAATGCATACTTGAGATAAGGTGACTTGAGAATCCTTTACAGTATTCCAGGCTCAACTCTGTAAAGAAATGGATAATCATGGTCACCTTTTTTCTCCTAGCATATTTTTGGAAGAATTTTAAAATTTTAAATCAAAAATTACAGTTGTTAAGAAGCGTTTCTAAATTTATATTACTTTAAAAACAATTTGCAAGCATTCCTGAAACTTAAAATAAATAATTTTGATCACTGTTATGGATGATAATCTTTTCCAACTATTAAACTAATGTCATTAAATCTTAAATAACTGTACTGCAAAGACTTGGACACGAAAGCCAGACTTATTTAAGACCAAAGAACAAAAGTTTTCTGGTCCTAAATAAGAAGTTATAAAAAAAGTTTCATATTTTTAATCAAATTCGTAATACTCTCGCGCCACGCAGAACTTCCAATATAGTGTTTTTACTGGAATACAGAGTACTGTGGTTTATTTCAATCATAAATGAATTGAAAACTATATTTGTATCCCACAAAAGTAAACAGTTAGTCAAAACACTGTTAGTCAATGCTTATCTATATTCAAAAAGGAAGAAAGACAAGAATGCTACAACGGATATTCTATGCAACGTTTGAAGTGAGGCACTATTTGATGATTTGATGTCCCATTTGAGTATAAGCAGTCCCTAGGTAGAACGCTGCCGTACATAATCCAACGCTATTTGCACTGTTCGGTACATTAAGTGCTAAGTGAGGTGGTACATTTTAACCAAGAGGGAGCGATTTCCTTGCTGAAAATAAGGGTGTTCTGGCGATCTTTCTTCCTGGTTGAACTTGCCAGAAACTTCACCATTAGTTGCTGTAAAAGAGATTCTTCACACCGTCTTAAAGGAAGGATAACAAAAGGGGCGGTCATCATTCCGTAAAGCTGCTTTATATTTCGTAAAGTCTCTGGAGGAATCTGCTGGTGAAATGTTTTGATGGATTAAAGGGTGAACGAAAAAGGATTTAAGTTTTTTTTTCTCCCCTAGATGAACGTTTAGAATTGAGATTTCAAAAGTGAATTCGGTACCTTAAATAATTTTTGTTGCATTTAAATTTTACGAATAAATTTAAAATGCAGGGAGATTTAAAGAAATATATTTGAAATTGTGAATGATACAGATTCAGATAGATATTTAGAGTAATTTCTTAATTCAAATATCTGCTGAGTAATCTATTGTTATATTATTTTGAAAACAGTAGCTTTCAGAATATTCAAAAAAATCCCTCTAGTTACAAAAGATTAGTAATTGTAGTTTTATAATTTATAGAATTAGCACGATGAAGAAAGCTTAATAATTTTGAAGCTTAAAAATGTTTCTTTTTTAGGTTTGTGATACTTTACATTTAATATAATATTACTCAACTTCATAGATTGGATTTAACCAAATATTGAATAGGAGCTCATTTTAAACTAATTTAAAATTGTTCTACTTTCCCTTTTCAAATCTACTTCATCTCTTTTCCACGTCTCAGGGGTTAGGAAGAGTGCTATGGGAGACAGGGTGATTTCTAGCTCAATAAATCCTCGGAACAAAATTGTGGGAGAGAGACTTTGCATGTGGATGTGGTTTAAGGAGAGATCAATCGAAAGAGGGTGGTCATTAGCCAATACGTCTAGCACTCGTATGCAGTTACGCTGTACTAAGCCAAATATTTAATAATAGGAAAAAAGAGGGGGGGGGAATAATAAGTAAAAAAAATAACAAACAACAGTTTATATATATATATATATAAAAAAAGAATTACATTTTATTTAAAAAACCGGAAAAAAAGATATAATCTTTTCTTCAGCCCACACGATTATATCCGCAAAACAGAGTGCATTCTGATATTGTATCAATAAAGCCAAAGCAAAATATATTAATACAATAGTGTGAGGAGCACTCAAAAAATTTTTTATAAAAATAACTCTAAATAAAATAGATCACAAAAAGTAAAAATAAGTAAAAATAACATGTAAAAACAGAAAATAAAATGAAACAAAAAGAAAAAAAACATTAAAAAGGGGCTATAAAGCGAGTAGCAAAATCAAATCAACATACAAAGTAAGGTAAAACAACGTTTAAGAGCACAAAAAATATTTTTTTGTGCTCTTAAACGTTGTTTTACCTTACTTTGTAATCCAGCACATAGGTCGCCCTTATGTGTATTTCAGATCAACTTACAAGGACGAAAATTTTTTCAAGAATGATTTAAAAATTTTTTCGCAGAAAGATTTCCAGATTACAAAATATGAAAACAAAAGCGCAAATTGATTGTAACAAGAGGGTTTTAAAGTGTCGTTCTTACTGCACTGCTGAAGTGATTTGTTATTCTGAGATTTGATTTGTTAGTTACCAAGGATGGGCCCGAAATGGATGTGCGCAAGGTAATATTATACTGGATAATTTTAAAAATTGATCATAAATAGTTTCAGAAGATAGATGTTTATTTAAGAAAAAATATAAAAGAGAAAAGAGAAACATAAATTGCCTGTTTTGCAAATAATTTTATCCGCGGATTTGCACGATATAGATTAGCTTTCTTCGTGTTTTCTTGTATTTATTTACCATGTAACGGAGTTTAACCCCGTAAATTGGTTTTAGAATATTTTTAAAGATCTTGAAATGATTAAATAATCTACAATAACTATCTACAAGGATTATTATTAAAACTTTAAAAAATATTTTTTCGATGAAAAATAATATATTTAATTTTTACTTTCGCGCGCGATTAGAATAACTCAGAGGCTTACCAATTTTTACAATTTTCACAGTGCAGCTCCTCGCTTGTTTCGTTAGAACAGATGGACCCAGAACTCACCATATGATGGTGGTTGCTCGTCGAATTCTACAAAAGACATTACTATACCAGCCATACAATTTTTCCGTGTGTTATTTGCATTATACTTACAGCTATTTTTGATTTCATTTGACGTAATGTATTGCTTAGGTTGCTTTTTTATATCTAATGTGTCTATAAAGTTGGAATTTTCGGAAAAAAAGGCATAATTTATCAAATATAATTGATCAGGTATATCCATCTCTAACTTCATGTCTGCGCACAATCGAAGCCACAGTAATTAATTCCACACTCCTTTTCACATCCCGGTAGTTATAGGGAAACGTTGCTATTTCTATGATGTTAGAAATAATTAGAGATTTTTATGATGCGTGAAGTGTTAGAGACAATTAGAGATTTGATATCCTCTCCTCTTAAATCTCGCAGCATTGAGGAGAAAATACTTGAGCTTGTCTTAAGTAGAAAAAAAAATTGTTCTTTCTTAACAAATTCTTATCAAATAACAATATCTGTTGGACATGCTAGGTCAAGTACCATGGGACATAGTCCAAAAGTTTTAGCAACTCAATATTCTAATCCTTTGTCCCATTCCAGAGTGTCAAATAGGATTTCAATTTGCGTGTAAGTAAGATTTTAAAAGCAAGACAAACAACCGGGCCATGAAAAAAAAACATAAATTTCGCGCAGCAAAAGATAAACTTTTCAACATTCTTTAAAATTCGAAATCATGAAGTGTGTTAATGTTGCCACAATTATGGAATCTTGTGTTGGATATCCTTCTCCAAAGCCGCAAGACTTTAGCGATATTAAATCAGTCATTTATTCTGATACTACGTGCAATTAGGAAATACCAAATTCTCCCTGTCAACGGCCGCTACGGAAAGGTGTGCCAAACATGTGACTTACTTCGAACAAATGTGAACATGAAGCTATATATATATATATATATATATATATATATATATAGATATATATGTGTCTATATATATATATATAT